TATTTATAATCTAGCTTCCTAATGCTAGTTAGGATATACAATTATACACACATATCTCATAGTATTTTACATACCTCTTCATTGATAATGGTGGCATTGCTCAGTGAGCGTAACGCTGATGTTATTTTTCTTCCAAGATCTGCTAGAACCATCTTGAAGGTTTTAAGATGTGCTTATGAGGAACTCTAGAAAGAAAAAAATTAAAAACAATTTCATTTCCATTGACTGAAGACCTCTGAAGAAAAATTTAAGTTCAAATTGGAGTACTGTAGTGTGTTGACACTATTTCTTTTCTTTATTTCTTTATTTATTTTTTGGGCAGAACTGGGGTTTGAACTCAGGCCCTTACACTTGCCAGGGGAGTACTTTTTCCACTGAGCTATCTCCCCGGCCCCGACACTATTTCAACTACAGCTTTAATATAACCATAATCCAAAAGATGGATTATAATGTTTTATGTTTGAATGGTTACTCAGAATCTCAATATGAATCAATAACATGTCAAATAATACCCATTTTGAGCCAGGTGTGGTGGGGCACACCCATAATCTAAGCACTCAAGAGGCTGAGGCAGGAGTATCGCCCCACATTTGAGGCCTATCTGGACTACACAGTATTTCAAGGCCAATCTGGAATACATAAGAACACTCTGCCTCAAATAATTGTATTTTTTTTGAAATAAAGCCATAATCTCAAATTAAGTATGTTCAATACTTGGGAATATGAACAACTAATTTACCATACATCCTTTCCTTTCCATGCATGTTTTTAATTACATGAAAAGAGAAAAAGAGGTAAAATCTCCATGAACATTATCTAATTCCTCACATTACAGAAGCCTGCACTATTTTCTTATTCCTAAGCAAAAAAAAAAAAAAAAAAAAAGAAGAAAAACATTTTAATAAATGACTTGCTTTTTCTAGCACAAGATAAAGCAACTATTGATACGTTTGTTGTATGACAGGCACTAGGATGTTACTCCACTATATTATTTCATTTTACTCTTCCAACCACTAAGGGGAAAGATTTTATTACTCTTCCCATTTTAAAGCTACTCCTGATTCTAATTCTAAAATAACTTCAAAAATTCCTTCAAGCTCTAACATGTTATGGTTTTATACAGTATATTAATGCACTATTACATGCAAGGAGGTAATAACTCATGGATAATGTTGGGTGTGGGGCACAGGCCTATAATCTCAGCACTTGGCAGGCTGAGGTAAGATAATCAATGTGAGTTTGAGGTAGCCTGGCCTACATAGTAGTGAGGCCCTGTCTCCAAAAAAAAAAAAAAAAAAAAAAAAAAAAAAAAACCCCTATAAATGGTAAAAGCAAATATGATTT